GGACGTGCGGCCATGCAGTCCTCCCCTGCGCCCTCCTCTCCCTCCGACACCTGTGCCCCGTGCCCCGCTGACGTATGCCGCATGTGCCGCAGCGGCCGCTGCGGCCACCTGTGCCCTGTGTCTGTGTGCCGCAGTCTCGATCGGCTTGGACTCAGTGTCTGCGTCGTCGTCCTCCTCTGCCTGTGCACCAATCCCCCTCTCTCTCTCCCTCTGAATTGCGTCCAATGCTGCCTGCCCAGCGGCGACCCCTGTAGCGAGTCGAGCCTCAACCTCCGAGAGGCTATGCTGTTGTCTCGTCCCGGGACGCATCGACAACCCCTCCTCGCCCGATGTGAACTACTCTCCCCGCAGCCTGTCCGTGGATGTCCCTGCGGCCTCGAGGACCAATGTCCTCCTCGTCTCCGCTCGTGACAAACCAAGCATGCGGCCTGCCATCTGCAGGCTCGGACGTCCGGACCAACTCTCCGCAGCCTTCGTCTGAACAGGCGTACGTCCCGTGAAGACGCCCCTCCCGGCGTTGTAATCCGCCCGCAACTGGTCCCCGACCCGACGAACAGCTGACCATCCGCCACCCACACCTCCTCGTACTCGTGGCGGGGAACCACCACTGTGCACAACTCCGGGTGCCACCGTCCGGTCCCCGGTGTCGACCCTGGCCTCCGGAGTCTGTGTGGGCGGTGGAGGCAGCGGTGGAGGCAGCGGTGGAGGCATCGATCCTGCACTATCTCTGCCGCCGTCGCTGCGTCTGCCGGACCCCACCTCACCCGCACCGGACTCCCTCCCTCTAATGTCGCTGAGCGACGAACCCGACCAGTCAGGGCTCTGCACTGTGAATGGCGGCGATGAATATACCCTCCCAGGGGCCCGCTGCTTGCCGCTCTTGCGGCTCACGTGTGCGAAAGGGTCATTCGTCAACGCATGCGCCAAAGCGTCGGCGTCGAAGAAAGTGTGCGCTGTGTCGGCAGGTCGCAACGGAGGCACTGTGGGATCCCTCAACACCAAGGCCAGCCTATACGGATCGTCCTCGGGACCGTGGTCGTCGTCATTGTCACCGTCCGGTCCATCGTCTCCACCGACACCCGCGGTGTCCTCATCTCCACCGGGTCCACCCTCTCCTCTGCCGCACACTGCGGCACCCTGTCCCTCATCACCCGCGGTCTCGCTGTCGCCACGGCCCCCACTAGGGGACCCACCGCCCATGACAACATCCTGCCCCTCAGGGACACCCGTGGTCTCCTCGTCGCCGCGTCGTCCACCACCTGACCCACCACCCGCGGCGGCATCCTGCCCCTCATAATCGAACTCCCCCTAAACCGCCTCCTCAGGGACACCCGAGTCGTCGACATCACGGCTCCCCCCCCACCTGTCTCCAAGTCCCTCTGCCGACGCTGATCGTCGAGATACGTGAACCGACCCTCCCACTGTGGCAAACTCCTCAGCCGCTCCTCCTCCTCTCGGTCCAAACGGGCATCCCTCTCCTCCTCAGTATCAACAGGGCCCCACTCAACGTCCGGGTCTGTGCGCACATCCTGCGGTGAGGCACGTCGATGCCCCTCAACACTCAAATCTCCCAAGCTCCCACCAAGCCCTATGTCCTCGAAGTCCTGTGTGCGGAGCACCGACGGCAAGCGGGGGCGGATACCGACGTCGGGAGGAGTCCTCTCCCCCCCACGATCCTCGCCGTCATGTGTCTGGTCTCTGCCTGTTGCCGACGCCAACCTCTCCGAGCGCCTAAGTGCCTCGGGCTGTGCAGAGATCGGATGATGGGAGGGAGAGAAGCGACGATCGCGAAGGGGCACCTCCTTATCCTCGGCCTCCCCCTCGGCCTCGCTATCGCTCCTAACCTCCCAACGCCTGCCTGTGTGCCGAAGACCTCCCCGTGGCTGCTGCTCCCCCGAGTCGTCCATGCGAACCTCCGCATGCGAACGTCCTCCAAAACCACCGCCGGCTCTGCAGCTGCCACTCGCCTGCGCGGTCGACGGCACACCACCAGTGATAACTGATGTGTGTGAATCCATGCCGTCACGAACCCCACCGTAAGTGAAGTACATTCACTCAGCCGTCGGGTCGCGACTCAGCGGCGTGTCATCATCGTCAGTCCTGTCGTCGTCGATGTCATCGCCTGCCGCAGCAGCGTCCACAGCATCCCCACCCTCCGGCCACGGTCGCAGCTTCGTCGCTCTGCTGCCGAACACGTCCCGAACCGAACGGGCTCTGGATGGTCGGCTGTCACGGAAAGCGACAATCTGCCGCTGGATCTCCTGCTTGAGAACACTGCCATCAGGTCGTGCTCCCCACACCTCGGGCTCCACATTTCCCTCCTCATCCTCCTCCTCTGCCGCCATCCCCCCCCGACCGGTCCCCATAACCCATGGCAACACGTAGCCACCACCCTGCCGTGCGCACGAGGCCAGTTTGAGATTGGTGGCAATCTCAACTAGTTGTGCAAGCTTGGCGAACCCAAGCGTGAGGCGCCTCGACGTGCTGACGCGCTCGTGCTCCGCCCAGTTCCTCTCCGCTAGAGAGGCAGACGTCCACAAGTGCATGACACGGATGGCGATGGTGCACAACTCCGGGTGGGCACGTCCATGCTCGAACCACCACGCTGCACATCGCTCGGTTTCACTGTCCCCCCTGCAATCGGCCGCCTCGACATCGGAGAGGTCACGATCTCCCCAATCCCCTCACCTCGAGTGGAACGCCCTCATCTGGTCCCTCACGGTCCTGTACAATAAGCCGACCGGATCGCCGCCGGTCTGCACCAGGAGAAATTTGTCGCACTCCTCGACCACATGGCGGTCGTCAGCGGTCGTCTCCAGCGAATGGCAATACGTGAGGGACCGTCGACGAGGGTTGAGGAGGTGGGTCACGGCATGTGCGGGCTCTAGCATGTGGAGGTTGCGGATGGCAACCTCACACACGCACGGCTCGATCATGTCAGTCGGCACGTCGACCCTGCTCATCAACTACAGCAGATGTTGACTCCACTCGTAAACGACGGACATCATCATCCCACCTCTATCCATCCTGCGCAGCAGCTGGTGGGCAGGCGACATGACGAGGATGGCGTAATGGACACGCTGCCAAAACTCCCCGTCCCGGATCTGCTGCTGCACCCACTGCGTCTGAGATACGTGGGCACGATCCCACGGGATAAGTGCCCAAGCATCCCCGTGCAACATGCTCTCCAACGAGTCTCGTCGGCCTTTGAGACACGTCAGCATCAGGAAAACCGATGCAAACCGTGTCTCAACGGGCTCGACGAGCTGAACGCGAGGGCTCACCTTCCTAAAAAGGGTGTGAGCAGCGCCGTGCGATTTAATAAATCGCACAAGCGCTCGAAGGACAAGATGATGGTCCGCCACCTACGGTACACGACGTCCGCTGTGTCTCGGACCGACCCGTTACGTGCGACGGTGGCGTACAGCAAGGCGCCGTTGGCGCCCCCGGCAAGGAAGTTCACGAGCGGCTTGCCGCTGCGCGACTTCCTCCCGTCAGAAAGGATAGTGCCACCACTGTGCCGAAAAGTGGCACGCACCTCGCTCACCACCGCCGCCACCTTCGCTCTCTGCGAAGGGATATCGGCGCCCGCTGTAACCCTGTAGGAGGGAAACCGGAACTGGATAGAGCGAGGCACTCTCTCTGCTGCCTGCCGCACCCGCTGGAACTCTGAACCACGGAAGGCGTTGAATGGCAACTTCTTCACGTAGATCCACTGAGGCCATGCGTTTGTGAACTCGACCAACTTCTCCCTGGCATACATCTCGTCAATCGTGGTCTGCCGAGCTCTCTTCTCCCTGCCCGTGTCTGGCACCTCGACGCCAGCCTGCCCCACTGTTCTCTTCTCCCTCCTCGCGCGCTCCACCTCAGCTCGCGGCGCCCTAGTAGCAGGACCCGCTCCACCGACGCCTTTCGACGTCATCACCACCTCCTCCCCTGGCAGGTTAGGCTCTCCGACTGCCTCGTCTGCCTTGTCTGCAACCGCCCCCTCCCTGGCCCCACCCTCGCGGCCCTCCTCCTCATCGAGGGCGTCCTAAAAGTTGTCCCTCTCTGCGTCGTCCATCCGCTGTCTCTGGCCACCCGCGGGCGCTCTCCTGTCCCGTATGCCCTCGTCTGCCATGCACCTCTGCACCCGCTGAGCAGTGAACGACACAAATGTGTATAATCCGTGCCGTTCCAGAGTTCCGCGAGAACTCTCATCCCCCCAACCTTGCAGAACTTCGATTGCGTAAAATTATGCGCGGCCTTCGACGACCCCCCCTGAAACAGGTGGCCGCATAAGTTGCAACGCAACTTTCGGTCCCCGTGCATCTTGGACTCGGACTGGTCCCTGATGTACTCGCCCGCGGTGATGAAGTTCCAAACAATGTTCCCTTGCCTCGACTTCGCCATCTCCTTCTCGGACAGCGGGTTGAATTGGGCACCCCCAAACCCCCCCGCACCGCTGCTCCCTGCACCCCCCGTCATCGCTTTCCCACCAGGATCCAACAAGTCGTGGCCTTGATCTTGGATGTCGTCTGACCGTGCTGCACCGTCGATGTTGCATCCCCTCGATGTCGCCGCACCCTGACGTCCCCGCCGCTCCTGCCGCCGTGTGCCCTCGATGTCGCGCTAGGCCACAGTCCAGTAGCACCCCAGCCAGCCGCCCAGCAGCATGCAACCGAGGCGGGCAGCTCTGCCCGCCCGCCGCCGGCCATGTTCGGCCTCAATCGGCCTCGTTCGGCCGTGCCCGGCCGCGTTCGGCCGAGTTCGGTCACGGTCGGGCACTAAAAAGGCCGCGCGCTTGTGAAAGACGCACGCGCCGATGGCGTTGGCCGTGCGGCTGCCGCTGGGCAGCGCAGGGCCGCTGTCCCGCGTGCTCGCTCGGCGCGCGCCGCTGGAGGGTGCGCAAGAAGAAGAAGAAGAAGGAGAAGAAGAAGAAGAAGATCTCTCTCTCTCTCTCTCTCTCCCTCGTCTCTCTCTCTCTCTCTCTCTCTCTCTCTCTCTCTCTCTCTCTCTCT